CAGCCCTGCTGACCACCTGGGGCCCTGCATGTCTCCTCCCTCTGCCTGAACTGCTTTGCTCTGCGTGAAGACTGCTCAGCTCACTGTGCTTCCCCTTGAGCTCCTGCTGAATTCCAGTATGAGTCAAATGATTGTGCTCAGTGATGACATTATACATAGCTCCCCATAGGGAGAGAGAACCCAAGAGAGGCCCCAGGCTGTTGAGGGGATTGGGAGGAGGCAGGAATTGCCTGAGGATATGAAAGATGAGTCCTCACTGAGGCACTTGTCTAAAGTTCCAAAATACCATGGGCCCCAGCCTTCTCTGGGAGAGTGCTTTCAGAGCAGGCCAGCACACATCCACTGCATGTCTGTCATGTTTAAGACACATAGCCCTGCCGGGCTCGGTGGCTCAGCCTGTAATCCCACGGCTTTGGGAGGCTGAGGTGAGTGAATTGCCTGAGCCCGCGGGTTCGAGACCCGCCTGGGCAGCGAGACCTCATCTCTACAGTAAATCAAAAAATCAGCCGGGCGTGGTGGTGCGTGCCTGTAATTCCGGCTACTTGGAAGGCTGAGGCAGAAGGATCGCCGGAGCCCAGCAGGTCGAGGCTGCGGTGGCCGGGAGCGGCCACTGTACTCCAGTCTGGGCAACCAAGTGAGACTCCAACTCAAAAAAATAAAAAATAAAAAGACACAGCCTTGGGAGGGAGACACAGAAGGCCTGCCTCCAGGACCTTGCCAGCTAATGAGGAAATGGACATCCCAACCCTGGGTGCTGTAATAAATACACACGTATTATAAGGAGAAGAGAGCCTAGGCCTAGTGGCTCATGGCTGAAATCTCAGAGTTTTTGGAGGCCCAAAATGAAAGGATTGCTTGAGGCCAAAAGTTCGAGACCAGCCTGGGCAAACACAGTGAGATCCCATCTCTACAAAGAATAAAAAAAAGATCAGCTAGGAGAGATGGCATGTTTCCTAACTACTCAGGAGGTTGATGCAGGAGGATCACCTGAACCTAGGAATTTGAGGCTGTAGTAAGCTATGATCATGCCACTGCACTCCAGCATGGATGACAGAGTGAGGCTCTGTCTCTAAAAAAAAGAGGAAAAGAGAATGTCATTCCAAGAAACTAGGAAGGATGTAGAAAAGTGGGATTGAGCTAGGCCTTGAAGGAAGGGTGGAGATGAGATAGGCAGACTTGAGAAGACTTGCAGGCCAGAAGGAAGTGTTTGAGCAAAGGTTTGGAGACAGGAATGTGTCAGGATGTTGGGGACAAGTTGGGGGGTGGCCTAAAGCAATGATATAGAAAATAAAATTTGAAAGATCAGAGAAAGACACATTTGGAAGAAATTTATTTATTTATTTTTGAGTTAGAGACTTACTCTGTCACCCAGACTGGAGTCCAGTGGCTGCTCCCGGGCACCACAGCCTCGACCTGCTGGACTCTGGCGATCCTTCCGCCTCAGCCTTCCAAGTAGCTGGAACTACAGGTGCGCGTTACCACGCCCAGCTAATTTTTTTTATTTATTGTAGAAATGAGGTCTCGCCAAGTTGCCCAGGCGGTTCTCGAACCCACAGGCTCAGGCAATCCACTCACCTCGGCCTCCCAAAGCATTGGGATTACAGGCTGGCATGGAAGAAATTTAAAGACCCTCCCTAACAAGGATTTTAGACCTCATCCTATAGGTCCATAGTTTACAAATGAGAGTGGAACCATTTTCTTTTTTCTTCTCTTCTCTTCTCTTTTCTTTTCTTCTCTCTCTTTTTCTTTCTTTCTTTCTGTCAGAATCTGACTCTGTTGCCCAGGTTGGAATGTAGTGGTATGCTCACAGCTACCTCAACCTCAATTTGCTGGGCTCAGGCAATTCTTCTGCCTCAGCCTTCCAAGTAGCAGAAACCACAGATGTGCACCTCCACACCCAGCTAATATTTTATTTATTGTAGAGACGAGGTCTTGCCAAGTTGCCCAGGCTGGTCTTGAATCCCTGAGCTCAAGCAATCCTCTCACCTCTGCCTCTCAAAGTGCTGGGATCACAGGCATGAGCCACCACACCCAGCTAGAACCATTTTCTTAAACAAAAACTTATGTGTGAACTACCACACACATTTAAATTAGAGCTCTAGCCGGGCGCAGTGGTGCATACCTGTAATCCCAACACTTTGGAAGGGTGAAGGAGAGAGGATTACCTGAGCTCAGGGGTTCAAGACCAGCCTGAGCAACATGGTGAGACTTTGTCTCTTCAATAAATCAAAAAAACCAGCTGGGCATGGTGACACATGCCTGTGGTTCCAATTACTTGTAAGGATCATCTGAGCCCAGCAGGTTGAGGTTGCGGTGGCTGTAAGCATGCCACTGCACTCCAGCCTGGGCAACAGAGTGAGACTCCAACTCAAAAAATAAAAATAAATAAATAAATCAGAGCTCCAACCACTCCCCAAATCCCGTCCCCAGGGAACCCTCTGATACATACACAGTCATGTGTATTTTTAAAGAAAGTCCATTGAGCCAGACACAGTGATGGATGCCTGTAGTTCCAGGTACTCAGGAGACTGAGGCAGGAGGTTGGCTTGAACCCAGGAGAGGAAGGCTGCAATGTGCTGTGATCATACCTGTGAATTGACACTCCAGCCTGGACAACATAGTGAAACCCCATCCCTGGAAAAAAAAAAAAGGAAGAAAGCCCATGGAATCATGCTGTATGGGATGTCCTGCAGTGAGTCCTGAAATATATCAATATGTGAATGTACTGGGTATGGCTTATTCCAATCTTCTATTGATGAACATTATTGCAGACATGACTTTTTCTTATAATTGGCTTTGCTATTAGATATGAAGTTAAAAAAAAAGATAAAGACAAAAAATAAAGAAAACCGCTGCTTCTAGGTGATGGGAACAATTAAGGACTTTCAGCAGGACGTTGATTTGATGGGATTGGTGTTTTAGAAAACTCACCCTGTCCTCTACACAGAGGGTTAACAGGAGTGGAGAAGTTGGCAGGAAGGGGATTCATGGAGAGACAGTAGTCCTGAGTGTTAGAGTGAAGAAGGATTAGCCTGCAACAATAGCAGAGAGATTGGCAGTTAGGGGTTGGCAGATGGCTCTGCCACCACACTAGTGTATCCCCTACACCCCCTTCTCACAGACTCGCTTGCCCTATGCGGCTCCTGAGTGGTATGGAGGCCCCGTGGTAGCCAGTGCAAACACGCTCTCTTTGGGGGGACCCTTGCTCTCCTAAAAGGGGGGGACAGCGTGCGACCACCCAGAGTCTGGGGGACAAAGTGCCCCATCCCATGCTCTGCCTCCCTGGGTCTCATCATTTATAGAATCGTCTTTTTTTTTTTGAGTTGGAGACTCACTCTGTCGCCCAGACTGGAGTGCAGTGGCTGCTCCCGGCCACCTCAGCCTCGACCTGCTGGGCTCCGGCGAACCTTCTGCCTCAGCCTTCCAAGTAGCTGGAATTACAGGCACGCGCTACCACGCCCGGCTGATTTTTTGATTTATTGTAGAGATGAGGTCTCGCTGTCCAGGCGGGTCTCGAACCCGCGGGCACAAGCAATCCCCTCATCTCAGCCTCCCAAAGCCGTGGGATTACAGGCTGAGCCACCTAGCCCATCTTTTTGAACCCGCATAAGTTGGCTATAATTGGTTTTGAATTGCCGTGGGGAGGGGGTTGAACAGGGGAGGGGTGGGAAGAAAGGGCTGGGAAGTGAGGAGGAGCAGGTGCAGGGGCAGCTGCGAGTGAAAGGTGTGAAAACAGGCACGTGTCTTCCTTTGCGGTTAGCTGGGTAAACAACCTGAGTGCTGGGGTGATGGGAGGGGGTGATGAGAACCGGAGGAGGAAGATAGGGAGGAGGGAACTTCCGGAGACATAGTGGGCACACCCCCTGCGTGTGGAACAGGCTCCCTCCCGCCCCTGTGCCCGGTCTCCCTGTGTCTCCTTTCCTTCCTCCTGCCTCTGAGCTCCCCATGCTGTAGGGAGTTGATGGCGGGAAGTAGCAGGGAGCTTGCCTCTGCTGCCTTTAGAGGGAAGCCCGGGCAGTGTTGCTTAGTAGGAAGTGTTGACTCCGGAGGGATATAAATGTCGGTTCCAACAAACCTGAGTTTTAGCAAGACACAGCTGTAAAATAGGAGCAATATTACATACCTCGAGCTTGTTGTGTGGATTGAATCAGATGGGAGGCTATTACTAGTATTTTGATGATAATGAGGACTGGCAGGAACAGGCGGGCAAAGCAAGAGGAGGCCAGCAGGCCTCATCAGCGCCCAGCCGCCCCAGGGCTCCAACGGGCTTCTGGGTTTCAGGGCCTGCTGTTCAGAATAGGAAGAGATGGCTCCTTGTTCCTGCCAGGTCCAGTCCCCAAACTGAAGTCCTGTGAGTCCAGACCCCGAGCCTGCAGGCTTCTATACCCAAGGCCACAGAAACACAAAATGACTTACGGGGCATAGCCCTTCTATGTTTGTGAACCCTATGTGTCTTTCTGCATTTTCGTCACTACTGTCTGAGGAATTAGTCTCTTTTACGTATGAAAAACTGAAGCTGGAAAAGATTAGGTGATTTGTTCAAAACTGAAAGCTGACAACTTGAAAACTGGAATTTGGGCCAGGCGTGGTGGCTCGCGCCTGTAATCCCAGCACTTTGGGAGGCCAAGACAGGAGGATTTTTTGAGCCCAGGAGTTCAAGAACAGCCTGGGCAACATAGTGAGACCTCATCTCTAGAAAAACAAAAAATTAAAACAATTAGCTGGGCATGGTGACACTCATCCGTCGTCCCAGCTACTCAGGAGGCTGAGGTGGAAGGATTGCCTGAGCCCAGGAGGTAGAGGCTATAGTGAGCCATGATCATGCTATTGCACTCCAGCCTGGGCGACAGAGTGAGACCCCCAACTCAAAAAAAAAAAAGGAAAATTGGGATTTGGTCAGTAGACCATATGTAGGAAAATTCTCCAAGGGAGTTGGGCTCCTCTCTGAGAGGACACACAGGTCCTCGCTTCCTCACCCTCCTGTCTCCTTGCCCTTGCAGTACAAGGAAATGGACAGCTACAATGACAGCACAGACGCCTCTGTGGTGGAAAATCACCTCTGCCTGACAGCGGAAGGGCCCCTGCTGACCTCCTTCAAGGCCGTGTTCGTGCCTGTGGCCTACAGCCTCATATTCCTCCTGGGTGTGACGGGCAACATCCTGGTGCTGGTGATCCTGGAGCGTCACCGGCAGACGCGCAGCTCCACCGAGACCTTCCTGTTCCACCTGGCGGTGGCCGACCTCTTACTCGTCTTCATCCTGCCCTTTGCTGTGGCCGAGGGCTCTGTGGGCTGGGTCCTGGGGACCCTCCTCTGCAAAACTGTCATTGCTCTGCACAAGGTCAACTTCTACTGCAGCAGCCTGCTCCTGGCCTGCATCGCTGTGGACCGCTACCTGGCCATCGTCCACGCCGTCCACGCCTACCGCCACCGCCGCCTTCTTTCCATTCACATCACCTGCGCAACCATCTGGCTGGCGGGCCTCCTCTTCGCCTTGCCGGAGATTCTCTTCGCCAAGGTCAGCCAACCCCATTACAACAACTCCCTGCCACGCTGCACCTTCTCCCAAGAGAACCAAGCTGAGACCAACGCCTGGTTCACCTCCCGCTTCCTCTACCACGTGGGGGGATTCCTGCTGCCGATGCTAGTGATGGGCTGGTGCTACGTGGGGGTGGTACACAGGTTGCGCCAGGCCCAGCGGCGCCCTCAGCGCCAGAAGGCAGTCAGGGTGGCCATCCTGGTGACGAGCGTCTTCTTTCTCTGCTGGTCACCCTACCACATCGTCATCTTCCTGGACACCCTGGCGAGGCTGAAGGCCGTGGACAACAGTTGCGAGCTGAATGGTTCTCTCCCCGTGGCCATCACCATGTGTGAGTTCCTGGGCCTGGCCCACTGCTGCCTCAACCCCATGCTCTACACTTTTGCCGGCGTGAAGTTCCGCAGTGACCTGTCTCGGCTTCTTACCAAGTTGGGCTGTTCTGGCCCTGCCTCGCTGTGCCAGCTTTTCCCTAGTTGGCGCAAGAGCAGTCTCTCTGAGTCAGAGAATGCCACCTCCCTCACCACCTTCTAGTGCACCCTTTCGTTTCTGCTCTCTTTGGGGCACACAGTGATGCTGGGAGCCCTTCCAACAGGAGCTGGGGTCCTAAGAGCTCACCTTGGCCAGCGTCCTTGGATTAACCAACTTTTCTTTCTAGGACATCCCCAGCAGCTCTTCTGCCAGCCCTGGGGCTAGGCTGGAGACCAGCATGCAGATATCCATTTGCATCTCCTTGGGCTGAGAGAACTCCACACACCTTCTCTCATCCTAACCAGGGAAAGAAAGCTCAAGAAACAACATTTACTTATGCCCTTGCCAATAGGGAAAGTCAGTCCCCTCCCAGAACACACTCCATCATCGTAAGGGCTGCTGGCCTCCATGGCTACCCTTGTCTCCTTCTACCCCTGCCAAACAAAGCCAGGAGAAGTGAGCCTCAGGGATGAGAGGAGGTTAAGGCTGAGGAAAGGCCTAGAGAGTGGTCTTAACACGTCTCAGTCCCTGAAAACATAGATGTTCTTCCAAGTCCCCGACCCTGTAGCCATCTTGGTCAAGTAGGAAGTTCACTCTGGTCGAATTCAGGCAGCTGCCCCTGGCTCTGACCAAACAGCACTGGGTCAGCCCCACGTCATCGGGTCCTGGGATGTCTGCAGACTGAAGGATGCCTCTAGGTGCCTTCAAAGGCCAAGCAGTGCCCTAAGGAAGAGTGAAGGCCAAGCAGCAAGAGAGGAGCCCAGGAAAGGAACGAAAAGACTCTCCCTCCCCAGCTCCAAAGAGGCATGAGTATAAATCAAACCTAGCTATCTTTTCTGCTCAGGGTCGAGATGGAGATGAGGTAGAGTGCTCCCAGGGTGGCCCAGGGTCCAGGAGCTGGTAGGTTGTGGGCACTGAACGGGAAGGAGGCAGATTTGTCTCCTCCCTGCTCCCTTGCCGCAAGCAAAAGGGCTAGTGGACACTAGAGCAGCTGAGGGGGCCGGCCACAGCGGAGGGAATGCTTTGCCAAGCAGACCAGAGACGCAGACCTACTAAGGAGAAAGACAGACTGCAAGGGGCCTGTGGGAATCACTTCGTCCGCCCCCTGCCCCATGGCCATGGCATTGCCTTAGGCAGGGCAGTGCAAAAACACAGACCAGGGCAGGGAAACCCCAGGCCCCAGGAAGCCGAGCCCTGCCCCTGGGAGGATACCACTCAGATGGAACCAGAGGAAGCTGCTCCGTGCTCACTGGGGGAGGGGAAGTTCTGTCAGGCAGTGCTGGGCTTACCCTCCCTCCTCCCTCATCTCTGGCCTGGGGTGGGGAGTCAGGGACCCCTGTCCTTGCTAAGGGCACATTGGGGTTGCCCAGTTCCACTCAAGCCAATCAGTCCAGTTCGCTGGGAGGCCCCCAAGGGGAAGTCACAGCTGTGGCCCAGGGGACTGTGTCTTCACAGCGGAACACCAAGGAAGCAGCCTTGGGGAGCTTCCCCCCTTTTCCTCCCAACATCCAATAACAAGCTGGACAGTGGAGGAGCCAGACAAAGAAGCGAAAAGGCAAGAGGTTGGATTTTGAATTTTCTTTTTAATAAAAAGGCACCTATAAAACAGGTCAATACAGTACAGGCAGCACAGAGACCCCCGGAACAAGCCTAAAAATTGTTTCAAAATAAAAACCAAGAAGATGTCTTCACATATTGTATTTATATATTTATATTTATATATATATATTTATATAATGGTACAAAATGGCTGGGGGTGTGGCCATGGATGGAGGGAAGTAGGCTGGCCTGTGGCAGAGGTGGGAGAAGAGGGGGTGGGAGGGCACTGGGCCCATCGTGATCTGACCCCTCTCTCCTCAGGGCAGGAAACACTTAGAGTCAGACAGTTTGGGGGGTTTCGGGACAGGAGTGAGGGGCTCGTGGGCGCAAGGCCCAGGCTGAGACAGGGCGGGCAAAGCGCCTGGCAGGATGGAGGGCAGGTGGCCCTGAACACAGAGGCCCGGCCATGGCCCCTGGGAGGCGCTGGGGAAGTCAGGAGCCTGCAGCCAGCCCCAGAGGAAGCGCTTGACCTGGCTGACGGTGGACCAAGAAGACAGCACCAGGCTGGGAGAAGTGGGGGCAAGTTCCCTTTGTATTACAGCTGCCAGTGCGAGGCCAGGTCTGGCGGCCAGGAGGGCTGGGAACGGGCCCTGGTATAAGACACCCTGTCTCATATGGCCCTTGGCCCTGGAGGCGGGGCGCCAAAGGCCTCAGTCAGGGAACTGCCCAGCCACCTCACAAGGCAGGAAAGGAAGTGAGAAAAGGAGAAGTTTGGTACTCCTGGGGCCAAGGGAGGACAAAACACCCAGTCGTATATGGCTTCAGCTCTGACCAGAGGTGGATGGGGCGCTCGCCTGGGGAAGAGCAGGGAGCTGAGGGGGAGGCAGTGGCTGTGCCTGGGTGGGCACAGACAGATCTGGTACATAGCCCTGAGCCCTGGGCAGAGGGACCTTGCCGGTGAGCAGGCAGGCAGAGGGGGTGGTGGGAGGCTGTTTTCCCTATTCCATCCTCAGGGAGTGGAGGCTGGAGGGGAGGCGGACTGACTCAAAAACCCTGTTCCTTCCTTCTTTGGTAAGAAGTAGGTGGTAGCCTTTGGAAGAGTCAGGGCCCTGGCTGTTACCTGGCCAGGGCTACAATAGCCGCAGGCCCCAGTGGCACCATGCCACCCCCTCCATGTCTCCACATAAGGGGCCACACAGCCACCGCCTCTTCCTCCTTTCCTTAATCCCAGACAGGGAACAAAGGACTTCAAGTTCTGGCTAAGATGTAGCAGCAGGGGGCACCCAGACATCCACAGTGGGAAGCAAGGGCCCCTTGTCACCAGTGTGGGCAAACACGCCTTCACGTACACACATGTTCTCCCTGAATCACTCAGCAGCAGACAGGCTGCCGCCCTGGGGGTCTCAGCCCTGCTGGGGCTTGCCAGGTGGAAGCCTAGGTGGTCTGACCTCAGTTTAGGTGTGGGGCATCTGTCACTTTACCGTTTGGGGAGGGGACAGGAATGGTATCCCTTATGGACCCAGGGACACCGCAAGCAGTGAGGGTGGGTGTGTAGGGCTGCCTGTCCCTGGGTCCAGGGGAATGGAGGGGGCAGTAATTTGAAGGGGGGTTTCTTTTATCCTTTTTTTGTGTGACTTCTATCAAAACACAGAAATACAGCACACGCACAAACCGGCACAAAAGCGCAGCTCTATTTACAGCTGCGGCTGGCACCTGCCCACCTGGCCAGCCGCCTGCAGGGAGGGGTGGGAGAGGGGGTCAGCCACATCAGCAGGGAAAGGAAACTAGGCAGGAAAAGACAGAAGGAAAAGCAGTCGGCACAGAGAAGCCAAGAGGAGGAGGGTGAAGCTGGAGCAATGAAGACAGGAGACAGGAGCAGAGGGCTGGAGGAGATCTTGCCTCTCCTTCCCCTCTCTCCCGGGGATCCCACACGGGGCTCTAAAAGCATAGCTGAATGGGGAAGGGTAGAGGGGGCTGCAGAGAAAGAGGGAAAATAGAGGCGCCAGAGAAACTGGGAGGAAGAGGGGAGGGGGCAGTCCTGGCGGCCGAAACGGAACCAACCCCAATCCAAAATCCCCCACCCCACTCTGCCACTTCCCCCTAAGCTGCCAGCACATCTGGTTTCCACAAATGCCACTCCCCACACAAGCCCCTCCCACCCCCTCCACCCCACCCCTCGACCCAGGCCATCCAAACACTTGGGGGGGAAGAACTTCTTTAAGGTTATCGTATTTGCAACATTGCCCCGGCTCCAGCCCCAGCAGGGACTTCTAGAAGGGCAGGTTGGCCATGCTGCCCGGCGCCGGGAGGTAGCCCATCTGGCTGTCCAGAGTCACGCTGCGCTGCCGCAGGGGGTGGGACACCATGAGGTTCTGCTGGGGCGGGGGCCCCATCAGGGAGCCCTGTGGGGAGAGCATGTGGGGCGGCTGGCTGTAGACCTCGCCCCCCACTCCGCGCTGCTTCATCAGCATGAAATTCTGCTGGGTCATGAGGCCTTGTGGAGGGGACATGACCCCCTGGTGCAGGCCATGAGGCACCATGCCCTGCTGTGGGGGCACACCTGTCCTGCCCAGCAAGGACATCTGTCCGGGGTGGCACATGGACATGTTGAGCCCCCGCTGGACGCCCTGCTGGCCCGGAAGGTTGGGGGGCCGTGAGGGGGTCTGCTCCGCCATCATGTTCTGCAGGTTCATGAGATGCAGATTGGGGGGCTGGGCCTTGGGGGGCTGGTTCTCGCTCTTGGGGAAGTACTGGAGGGTGCTGCTTGGCTTCTCCGAGGGAATGATCCTCGACAAGTCGAACTCAGGGATCCCCGTCGGGGTGGGCCGGATCACCTCGCTCAGCTCAGGGTCGTTCAGCACCGATGCCACCCCAGGGAGCACGCCCGGTGGGTATGCGTCACCCATGCGCCCAGCCAGGCCTTTGCCCATCAGGTGCTGCTGGGAGGGCATGGGGCCTGGCGGCTGGCTGGGCAGGTCCTCTGGGGGCAGGGGTATGCCTGAAGGGTAGTGCTGCTGCAGGCCAGGGCCCCCGCCCCCAGCCCCAGCGGGGGCCATGGCACCATGGGGCTGCTGCAGCCGAGGTGGGAAGGGCATCATCTGGGAGGAGCTGGGCACAGGGCCGCAGGGGGCATTCAGGGAGTCTGGGCCCCCTGGGGCCATCATCATCGAGTTTTGAGGGGGCCCTCCTGTCCCCTGCGCATTGGGGTGCAGTGGAATGTTGGAGCCCAGAGGGGTGGGGGAGGGCAGCATGGCAGGCGGGGGCTCGTGGGACAGGGGCTGCTGGCCTGGCAGGTTCATGCCCATGGGGCTCTGGGCAGCAGCTGAGTTCAGGTGTATCTGGTTAGGCTGGCTGTTGCTGATGCCTGTGGGGAAAGAGGACAGGGGGTCAGGCCCTGTGTCTGCTCAGCTGGGGGAGGCTGCAGAACTCAGCCCTTCCTCACTGCCCAGCCAGGTGGTGCCTGGGGTGAGCGCTTCCACCATTGCTTTCCCTGGCTGGGAATAAAGGCACAGGAGGGGTCTAAG